ATCAGGTTCATGGATACGATCGAGCCTTACATGTCCGATAGAGTCTTGCGCCAATTCGGCTTTCGACAAATTATTCCGGCGTCCCCTATTCAACCGATGCGTGGTTCTAAGAGGGAAAGAAAAATTGTTTCGTATAAAGTACGTTACGAGTCCAATGATCATGCATGGAGTATCCCAAACGTGCACAGACTTGAGCAGACTTACTACGGTCATAGGGCGGATCCAGCTTGGGAGGTTGCTACAGATTACATGGATTGGTATATACCTCGTACTCACCTTCGTGTAGATCCCAGTACCGATTTATTGGAGAGAGCAGAGCCATCTCCAGTTCCATTCGTGTACGACATCACACGATTGTTGCATCCGTACTACTACGATCACTTGCCAGCATCCCGTATTCCAGGATATCATATGGTACCAGATGATGTCTTTAGACAGGTTCAGGATCTGTGCACGCCATTTTCTGATTATTTACAGTTGCAGCCACCCGATATTCCAAATGATGATACGAATGTTGAGCATGATACTGGACCGTCACGTATGCCATATTCCCAGAGCAGGCGGCACAGGAGGGACTAGTAGCTATTTTTATATTTATTTTTGTTATTTCGTTATTATCAGCAGACTGTTAGCTATTTTTATGTTTTTTTTTATTATCGACAGACTTACGTATTTTTAGGTTTATTTCAGTTTCTCGGATTACTACTTGGATAAATGAACAATGTTAACTTTTAGGTTTATTTCAGTTTTTTTTTTCATATTATTTCAGTTTTTTTTTTCATATTATTTCAGTTTTTGGCTTTCATATTATTTCAGTTCTGGATAAATGAACAATGTTATTTTTATATTTTTTGCCCAGTATAAAACAATAATTGCATTTAAATAAGTATTTCTTTACATATTCGTAGTTGCCTAGTTGGTCAGGGCAATCTTGGTTTACCAGACAGACCCGTGTTCGAAATCTTGGAAGCGTGCGTGTTTTTTAATTTTTTTCCCAGAAAATCATGAAATGATTAATTATATTTAAATAAATTAAAATACACAAAATCGTTGTTGCCTAACTGGCAGGGGAGTTGGCAGAAGCTTAATGATACGGGATCATGATTATGTTTCCCGTATAATATTCTAATTCCCCATCTATCCCCGTAATGTTGCTCTCCCTTCAAGTAAAATTTACAATTAATCTTCTTTGTGCCCGACCATCGAGAGTTTGGCACATCTGTGTCTGTTTTACTTGGTCTCTTCACCCCAAATAGATCACAAGTAAGATATGCTCTATTTGAAGGGCTACTACGGCTCACCAACTTTACACCAAGATTCTTGGCGGTCATTCTCGCCCATTGTACCAACTCAATCCTCGAGTTAAAAAGTTCCGGTACTATAAAATGCTCACTATGATCAACTTCAAATGTAGAAGAATTTTGTTGTTGCTCTTCCTGAAATAATTATAAATAAAATAAGGTTAAAGAAAAAAAAAAAAAAAAAAAAAAAGTGTTCCGCTTCCAAACCGGACGCGGAAATCGGTTTTGGGCACCCAAACCGGACGCGGTTGGCAGTTTTCCGTGCCCAAACCGGACGTGGGTTTCGGTTTTTGGCGCCCAAATCGGCCGCGGGGAGTAGTTCTCCGCGCCCGAACCGGACGCGGGAAATACTTGTTCGCGTTCGAACCGGGCGCCGAGTACCATCCCGTGCGTTCGGTTTGGACGTGGATCTAGGTTTTCCGCGTTCAGTTTAGGCGTGAGACGTATTTTGGGGCGTCCAACTTGGTCGTGGGTCTTGTTTTCGCGATTTAAAGAACAAAAACGAACAAATTTTACCTCGTTGGATTCCGTATCTCGATCCTCATTCGATGCACTCATTTTTTTTTTTCAAATGGCTACAATAACATGTGTTTTGGAATGATTTCTAATATAAAAGCTAAAATTGTAGAGAGAGAAAGAAAGTAGAGAGTGGATTTTTTTAAACCCGCATTCGTAATTTTGCTACCGCGAATATCACCTCCCAATGTTTAAATATGTCAAGGCAATGATGTATTAGGATCTACACTCTCAAAACCTTCTTTCAAATCCTGCTTCTTAAACCGTCGGAAAGGCTCACCTAACGCGAGTTTACCGCCGGTGAAAATGAACAAAATAGACGAAAAATGTAAAATAGAGAGAATTTTTAGAAAAAAGTGTACTATTTATTATTAAACGCAATCATAATTGGTTATATAAAGATTTTCTGAATGAACATTTCTTATTTAATAATTTCCTGATTTGCCTATAATTTGATTCGGATTACATAATTGGTGCCCAAGATTTACTGATTCCCTTATCTATTTATGGAGAAGATTTCCGGACGATGATCTTCAACCGTCTTAAGATCAGCTCGCCTACCCCCTCTTTCTTCTTTTTTTCTTCGTGCGCACTATATTCGGCAAGCTCTAAGCCCATCAAACGAGGCTCATCTCCTCGTATCTTCTAAGCCTATAAGGCGAACTCCTGGTCTGACATGATCTCTTGTGATCCTACAAGACTTGGGCCTAGTCACTATGTGGAGCTCGACCCAATGAGACCGAACTGATCCCATCATTACAAGGACTGTCTCTAGTATCCATATGTTCTAAATGGTATTTCAATTCATTGATATATTTCATAATTTCATTTCCTTCCTCTTTTTAAATCTATCCCAAAATTAATTCAAAAGCTCTAATCAAATTGAATCAAAGTAAAAGTTTCACCTCATTACAATAGATTTCACTAACCGTATGTGTTTACTTAACTATAGTTATTGCGGGAAAAAGAAAAAGGAAATAGTTGCTACGCATACCCAAATGAAATCAATTCAAAAGCTCTAATCAAAATTGAATCAAAGTAAAAAATTTACCTCATTACAATAGATTTCACTAACCGTATGCGTTTACTTAACTATAGTTGTTGCGAGAAAAAGGAAGTAGTTGCTACCCATACCCAAATAAGCATGCACGACATGAATCAACTTCAAATGTACTTAAATCGCTAGATTGACTATCGGATTAAAACATTATGCATGATAGAAAACACACCGCACCAACCCACAACAATCGAACTTCAAACGTATTTTGACCATCTATCAGCCCGAATCTCAACATAATTAAAATTTAAATTATAGCCAACAGCCTTTTTCTACCAGCAAAGAAAATTTAAAGAAAACATAATACAAAGAGAAAACTAGGTATAAATCCACAATACAAAACATGAAACGCAGATTAGTCCCAATACATATAAATCATAAATTATCCAAGCAAGTAAT